ACAAACAAGATATTGAAATATATAAAATAATCAAAAAATAAAAAGTTGTTTTTTCATCCAGTTTTTCGGCTCCTCGCTCGATTTCTACACACTCTAGCTCATCTCTTGCTCTCTACGCTCTCCGGTTCTTTTCTCGGTCTCTGGACTGCTGCTCGTAGTCCATATTTTCTCATAAGGAATCCGCGTCGGTTGAAGCAAATATTTCGGATTTCGTTTTTTTTTTCTCCTATCATCCTAAACGGCGATGCGTTGTTTTATACGATTCATTAATATTAATACCCAGAAATGAATTTTTTTCGTTTTTTCTATCGCCCGCGATATCCTTGCAAGAAATGATATAGAAACCGTGTTCGTATTTCATATGACAAGTTTTAAATATCATCACGCCCTTCGTTTCCAGACGGCATCGAACGTGCCGAAAACAACAAAGAAGCGCGATAACAATTAATTAGTCTTGGTAGTAATACCTTTGCCCACGTATTCGCCAGCCGTAAGGGACTATGCGGAGGAACTTTATTGTCTATGTGGGTATCATTCCGAAGAGATTGATCTACAACCGTGATCAGCGTTAGCACTAGGTGCTATTTGCCAAGCACGGATGATCAGTAATAGGAGCGATAAGTCGGTCCACGGTCAGCGTGTCTTCAAACGGAACACCAACGCCGGTTATCCGTACCGTTCGCCTTNCTTTGGTTTGCACCAACCTCGGGCACCCTGGTAAGGCCACGGCTATTATCCAAGCCACTTCGTATAATAATATACGCAACCTCCAGTGTATCTACCCATCGGTAAAGGCCGGTATATGCCAAGGACAGGCCATTGACCCATCTATCAGCTGCTTTCCTTGAGGCCAGAATTTAGCTATAAACCACAAAGAAGGGCTCTTCTTCTATGCCCCTTTTCCGTTAGGGTATTTCTAGAGAACACCTTGAATGCTTCGAATACCTTCCTTGTCTTAATGAGGATTGAGTAGCTTGATGGCCATAGCATTCTAGCTCTATGAAATTCCAGTTCCAACCTTTTTCTGTATGCCCTTGTCAGTATACTGTAATAATACGAAAATAAGAAAAAAAAATTTTATTAGGTGTATTTATTGACCAAGATTGGATATTTGGTCAATTGGTGAGCAACGAGGTTCTATCGGAGTTGTAGAGTCCGAGGGTTTAGAACAATAAAGAAAAGTAGATATAAAAAGTAATAATTAAGGTTCGTCTTATAGAGATATTATAAATGATCCAACTAGTAAGTACCTGTAATAATACACCGAGGCAGTGAAGAGGCGGTGGCCATCTCACGAATACCATGTAATGTGATTATGTATAAGGTCCGAACTTATTAATAATAATTAATTGAATTTTAAAAATTAATATAATTATTTGATCTATTGCTTTATTGTTCTACACTCAGATTATTAATTCTAAATAATTTAATTATAAGATAATATAAGTATTGGCTCTTAATGATTTAAAGTCTTACCTGAAGATTTTTCTTTGTTCTAATAACAACTTTTGACAATACCAGGTTATAACAAAATAACACGAACTCAAATGTTTAGTTCATAAATTAACAAGTAAGAATTTCACAATGATGATTACGAACTTTGCGTATCAATATCGAAAGTACCATTCCACCAGCTCAATGAATATTTAGAGACAGACTTTCTCAAGCCATCACCACTCAGCCCTGACTGGGAAGGATTACTCTGCCTTTTATAGTATTTTTTGATCCCCGAACAATCATCATTGTGTCATTCTTGTAATGTTATCGTTTATTGTTAAGTAAGCATAATATATGAAATACATAAATTAATACACATGGATAATATACAAATCATTTTTATACAACGTTAATATAGTTTGTTTTTACATTCTAGACTAGGGTTAACACATTGTGTTTTTTTATTAAGATAAGAGTAAAAAGAGCTGACAATTATAATTAATAAATGTCCTATAGAGTGATTTTTAAAGGTGACTAATAATTGACTCATGACTGAATCGTGTAAAATATAATATAGTTAAACGACAGTATGCGTTTGTTAAATATTTCTCTAAGTTATTTATTTAAAAACAATCATGTTATTTTAAGCATATGAATATAATTTATAAATAAAAGTGTTAATAGTCTTAAATGAAAAACCATTATTGTGGACACAAACAGAGTAGTCCACTGTTATTTCATATTGTGATAGTGACAAGTGTATTACGAAAATACACCCCAAAATATCACTCCGTAATAATCTAGAGTATGATGACTGCCCTGTATATTATTTCAGCATTTTTCTGGTCGCATTTCCAGTTGACGCCAGACGTTGCCTTCATTCTGCTGTACATATCTTCAGCTGTATTCACCAGTTGGAAGACGTGGAGGCTGAATTTAATCCCTTCCCCAATATGTAGGCCTAGGTATTTTATTTGGTTCATCGTTGTGATTCTCGCTTATCCCATACCAATGGTAAAGCCCGTCCATAGTCTCCTTTATTATATTTTTTTATTTTAAATTATATTATCACTCTCTCTATAGAGAGAGATAATATAGTTCCTGTAGTAACTAAGGTACGCGATTGTCCCTCTCTCCTTAGGCCAATCAAAACATATCTAAGGGGTGATGAGGACAATACTAGAATGTCCCTATCTGGATCTAGAATTGGAAACTACCCGATGTCTGCCCGCGTCGGACACCTTTCAATTCTTGGTTTTGATCGAGATCGCCCAATATTGGACGGACACTAACCGAATACCTACCCCAAAATCAATAAAAAAAAAAATAATAAAATCTCAAACGCAAAAAAATAATTTTGGTTCCTAGCTCCGTGTCTTGCACAGTCGCTATCTATTGCTTACGAAGACGCATCAAATAAATACTACTCGTTTGTACTAAGAAGAGTGTAGTGTTAAAAAATAGATCACTCGCGGCTAATGTTATTAATCGATATTATTAGCCACGACGAGTGATGAATTATTGTATTAGTAATTAGTTATTATTGTTTTTTTTATTTTAATTATAATTATTATTGTATCATTTAATTATTGTATTGGAAACCGTATAACCATACTCAAAGTATGTGAAATAAACCCGTTTGAGTTGTTTATTTTAAACATATTAAAATACATCGTCATGTTTGATCTAAATGTTCAATATAAAATAGTTTATTTTACACCGTTTATATTTTCAACATTTTAATATAATTTGTATTGAACTTGAAATTTGAACCTAAAATTCATACTTGTTGAATACTCATTACGAGAGGGCGTTTTTTTACATTTTTTTGTTATGATTGATAACGTTACTCGCACTACCACCATCGGTTATGCGAGAGAATCATTACGTTGGATTATATGTACGCGATCATTGTACGATATCAAGTTACTGTTGATCCACTTTTGTGATTTTTGCGTTTTTCGCCGCCATCCATAACTCGTTTGTTATAATATTTTAGTTTATAATTTTAATACAATTAATTATTATATATTCCTAAATTCATTTTATTAATTTATACAGTCCACTCCCTATTTCTTTCTTTGGCTTAATTAGACAACCCAACCGAACGTTAACTAACCCGCACATTATCACCGAGCGTTCTGTTCAAACAATACTACATATTTCGTTTGACCACGAGCTTTGAAATTTGTTGTAGTTCAACATTTGATAGTTGTATGAGTTAATAATGTACAATTTACTTATCAATACGATTGAATTCTATAAAAAATAACGGTGAAACTTTAAAAACAATAAGCAATTATATACGCTATTGAAAGAAATATATTTATAAAATTAACATATAAATTATTAAAATAATATAATTCTAATTGAATTAATGTCAACTAGTATTCTAAGTAGAAGTACATATTGACGATACTTATCGTAAAATGAATAGTCAATAAAGAAATAACAATTACGATATATGGTTGGAACTTGATATTTGTACAATTTTACGTAAGTTCTACGTGAGATTTCCTTCTTTCAAAACTTGTTGAAAATATGGTATGCTGAAAAGTAGAATAAAAATAATCTAATCTATTGAAAAAACTGTGTACACATCACAATACACAACGCGGCTAAAAAAGTGAGTATTTAAGACTATCGATCAGCGTTAATGAGATCATTTCTTCTGGTAGTATTAGATAAAGGGAAATATTAGGTAAACCCTATTCAATACCACTGCAAGACTAGACTCCAGTGATCCGAGATTATTAACAATTTCTTTTATCATACAATGTAAATATTTCTATAGCTTGAAATGTAATTCCTAAATTTTTTTTATTTTTCATATTCAACTCGATGTAGACTTAAGAATAAATTGATAAAAAATAATTATGTGAAAAATTATTCTAACTGTTATTACGTTTTTCAGATAATGTTCAGGGAGTGTTTAATGATTTTATTAGCTTTTCTAGTCGCATTATCACTAGGTACGTCGATCTTATTATTTTTAAGTTATGTATATTGACGTGATTTATTAAAATGTTTATAAATTGTTCAAAAATTATTATTGAATAGAAAAAAAAAGCATTGGTTTCTAAATTAATTATATTATAAAAAATCTATACTGATTACAATAGAGATACTAATGAGTAATTAAATAGACGCAATTAAAGATGATCGTTTAAAGTATACAATAAATATCTCGAATCTAAGATTTACAAAAAATAATATATATTCTTTTTGGTATTGCTTAACACACAAATCATTTAAATTTTACTTTAATTATACAATATACAATATTTTATACAAGGAGGTATACAATAAAATAATAATATAAAAATAATCAATTGAAAATTATTTTTTTTTTTTTAATAATTTTCAACACAACTTAGCGATGGCGTCTGAGTTAAGCGATTAAAACTATTACTCCAAGACCATAAGCCCAGAGATATAGATAATACGTCAGTTTGTCCACATTTATATTATGATCTTTTAAACCATTGTTTTTTTAATATTAGTGATGTCGAATTAGAACTGAATAAATTGTGCGGTAACAAATTATTGGGACCAGATGGTATCTCTTGTGAATTTTTGTACATGTTACGTTCGTCTTTATCGTATCCAATATGGTCTATTTTTCGTAACTCACTAGATGATGCTATCTACCCAGATCTATTTAAGATTGGTACAGTAACACCAGTACTTAAGTCTGGAGATAGTTCTAATGTTAGTAACTATAGACCAATTTCATTGTCTAGTCATATAGTCAAACTTTTTGATTTATTAGTATTGCATTCTATTAAACTAGTTATTAATTCGGTTTTAATTGATGAGCAACATGGATTTCGTCCTAATCGCTCAACGACTACAAACAGTCTAGTTTTTACTAATTACATATTTGAGGTTTTTATGAATCGCTCACAAGTAGATGTAATTTACATTGACTTTACCTAGGCTTTTGATCGCGTTGATCGTAAGTTATTAATAAGAGTGCTGATTGATTCAGGTTTTGGTGAACCGTTATTGTTGTGGTTTGAATTTTATCAACGAGATCGTAAGCAATTTGTAAAGGTACTTGGTATAAAATCAGACACTATTGATGTACCTTCTGGTGTTTCACTAGGTGGACATCTTTCTCCCTTGTTATTTACATTATTTATCAATGATATTAAAAGTTCACTTGTTAACTGCCGTTTCCTTCTCTTTGCGGATGACCTCAAACTATTTTTAAAAATTAATTCATATAGGGACTGCTTATTATTACAGGATGATCTTAATTCTCTGGTAAATTGGGCTAAAAATCGTGTGTTAGAGCTGAATATTTCAAAATGTCTATAGAACTCGTGAACGTATTAATTACTTGTATAGGGTTAATGATAATATATTGTTATCTTCGTGCAATGTGATTACTGATTTGAGTATTGTTTTCGATCATGAATTAAATTTTCGTGCTCACCTAGACAAAATGTGTTGCAAAGCTTTTAAGACGTTAGGTTTTTTTAGGTGAATTTGTAATGATTTTAAATTAGTATCTTTTTTAAAGACTTTGCATTGTTTTTTTGTGAGGTCAATTTTAGAATATGGTGCGATTGTTTGGAATCCAGTTACTGCGTGTGATATGATGCAAATTGAACGAGTGCAACGTAAATTTTTAAACTTTGTGGCATATAAATTAAAAATTGATAACCCACCCCATGACTATACACCAATAATGCATCAACTCGGTTTGCTTACATTAGCTGATAGGAGACTTGAAGCTAATCATTTTTACTTTCCTCAGGCGTCTTATTGATTGTCATATTGACTCTCCTGAACTATTAGAACTAATCAAATTTAAAATTCCATCTTTTCATGCACGTCATTTAATTCTGTACCTAAATGTAATACCAACTACCTAAAAAACCAGCCAGTTTATAGAATGATGAGTATTGCTTATAAGGACCCATCAGCTTTATTATATTATTAATTATTGTATATTTGTATTTTATATTATTATTGTACACATAATTTAAATGTATTATACTAAAATTTGGGCATTTCATCGTTAATAGTAATGAAATTTTGAAAATTTTTTTTATAAAATTATTAATGGTATAATCAGATACTAGAGGTTACAATTGGTAATATTAAACGTGTTATATAATTTCGAACGGTCGAAGAACTCAAACGATCAATTAAAAAAACGTAGTATCTAGCAGTTGAATATTTATTTTATCGAACATCCAATGAAAATGTCAAGAGTCAGATCATTTATTACGATTAATTTATTATTAAGTATTATTTGAGTACTGCAGCCATTGTCGAAGCGAAGTTTTACAGGATTACCGTTCCGGAAGGGACGGGGATGAAGTATCCTACCGGTAAGTCTATCCTAGACTTGCCAGTAAAAATGACTGCATAACGAAAAAACGATTGTTTTTTGTCTGGAAAGCTTAATAAAAGTTTTTCTAACGTATAATATCATTCCCGCATAAAACTTTTAATGTGCCATTACTATGTGCGGGGCCTGAAACACATGCATTGTTCACCCTGGCCTGGCACCGATACCGATTACATTTTAGGTTTGCACCAATTCAGTGTAAATTTTCGCATTGAATTTATATAATTTAGTAAATTCAATCTTGAGTTAAAGTGAGCCAAATCATTTTGACTTTATCACTTTTAAACAAAGTCACAAATGGATGTTGACAAAAGAAAAATTTGAACCCTAAAATTAAAAATTACACATTTTTAAACGTAATAAAAAAATCACTACAACTCGATAAAATATATTTTATGATATATATATATGATATGTTTAATGAAATCAAATGGAAATTTGAATTTTTCCCACCTTAACCCCTCCCTCCTAGCACGGAGAGTCGCATGACTTAGTGCCGGTAATGATATAGTGCAATACAGAGATTACATTGATTGTTATAACTAATAATACTGTAGATATATCTACAATACCATTAGTTATAACAATTACTATAATATAATCGCGTGTAATAGATGAATTGTATTTCGAAATTTTCTTTTAATGTTCGTAGTCTAAATATTTAATTACAGCTACTTCTATAGAAGTAATGAAATTTATAATGTGACGTCCGCAGTCTAAATATTTAATCGCCACTACTTCTGTAGAATTAACGGCATTTATAAATTGTACGTTTGCGTTCTTCGTTCATTTAAATACATCTATTGATTTATGTTTTCAATAGTTATAAAATGTGTTTTACCCGAATCTGTTTCGCAGAAAATGAGGAGTGTACTATTTGCTCAGAATCTGTTTCTGAATTTAACACAATGGAGCCATGTCAGCACAAAATTTGCTATATCTGCGTAACTAAAATTATGAGTTCGAGTAATTCTACTTGTCCCTTGTGCAGGCGTAATTTTCTCTGGACAAAAGGCGCAAGTAAATATGATTAATAATTAATAAGATATTTAAAAAGTAAATAAACAGGTAAATTTTTAAGAACAATAAACGCGATTCCTGATTTAATCTTATTAAACGTGATGTATTTAATTAATAGAACATAATATCGTTGATATAGAATATATCATGTTATTAATGTATTATAAAGTAATACACGGTACGAAAATACAGTAATGTCTGGGTGACCTTTGCAGTAGTAGAGCAATTTGGATAAATATTACCATTCCTATAATTGAAAGTAAAAAAAAATAATACTTTAAATTAACTAAAAAGAAATTAAATGAATGGTAATCGTTGTATGTTTTGTAATTAATAATTATATTTAAATCGAATTTTAAGCGCCAGAAATGCTTTTCTATAATTAAATTGTTAACGCGATTCCGTTTAATATAAATACCATTTCTAAAAAGATAACACGTTTAACTTTTTTTTTAATTATTTGCCTTCTCGAGCTTATTGCTTAGAACTTGTATACGTTACGTACACACGTTCGACATTAAACAGTCTTATTGTCCAAAACGTTGTGAATTCGATATAACTATAAAAGAAATTCGCCATAGTTTTAGGAAAATATTTGGCGTTAGTTTTATTTTAAAATAAAATCCTAATTGTCACGCGCGTAAAATAGAAAAAAACAATAAATAAATATATCAGTAGTTTTATTAAAATTAAAATTTTTAGAAACACACGAAGAAGAACTCTCAATTTTAAAGGTGGCTGTTATGGATAAATCGATTACTGTCGAAAAAATCATTTCGTATTTTTATATTCTTCCACCTTGGCAATATGCCGATGATCAAATGTTGGACGACATTGGAGAAATTAAAGACTCGTATCCTTCTGAAGATATATCCATGTTAATTGACTTTATACGAAATGGTTGTTTTAATTATACTATCGAAGAAGATGTGGAGCAACGTCGTAAGTATTTCCGCAAAGAACCTAATGATGAAGAAAAAATTATATTGCAAAATTATTATATAAGAAACGATCTTAACGTTCAGAACGAATTTAATGCACGAAAAATTATGTTCTAGCAAATAAAAGTTTGATAACTCGTGTGTTAATATCATAAAAAATACAGTTAACGACTGTTGATTAACTTAGTATATATTTTTATATTTTATTGAAAATAAAAATTTATCTTTCCATTACAATTCTTTTTTTTCACACTACAACAATTGATTATTTTATTTCTGATTTAATCCGAGTAAATACTGTCATCCTCGAGCTGCCCCAGTCAATCGTTTAAAAATACAAAATCGTTAGCGTTCTATTTAACGCTGAGATATAATTTTTTTAATCGACTTTGCTATATTAATAAAACAGTATAAAAAACCGGTAGCACGGTGGAATCGCCGCATAGTCGGAATCAGTATAGACGATATCTGACAGTGATTAAAATCATCATAAGAAACGCTTTTTTAAAACCTGTAGACAGTGTTTAAATTTAAAAATCAGTGGATAATTACAAAAACAACATCAACTCTTAATTCCTTAATTATATCTTGATTAGTGGTTCTATGATCTAAAAGTATAACATATGAATAAATATACTTTTAACGTATATTTAATATATATTTATTTTGAATATATTTCTTACAATGTAAAGGACTTGATGCAATACTTTTCAAAAAAAAAATTTCGTTACTTATGAATAAATACACTGAACTACAAGAACTTTCATCGGAATCAAAAATAGACTTTCACGAAAAAAACGTATACAATATTGCATAAATATTAATTTTTATACTTCATGATATTAGCCAACACTTGAAATAGATAAAATCTACGGTAGCAATTAGGTTGAATTTTAAAATTAAATTATCATAGGGAAATAAAATGACTAAATTAATACTAATTCAATTAATAATAACTTAATATTAATTATTAATAAGAACATAAAAGGCTAAATTTAAACATCTACGAAACTAATTTCACTACTTTTTATACCAATAAGAAAAGCCTCAATGAAAGACACTAGTGTTACCGATTCGACAAACATTCGTCGTATTCGTGGTTCGATATAATTGGCAATTAAAACTTTCAATATGTTTTACTTTTTATATTCTACCTTA